TCAAAAAAAAAAAAAAAAAATTAGCCCAAATACCCTAAGACAGTGGTCCCTAACCCCTGGGCTATGGATTGGTATGGGTTTGTGGCCTGTTAGGAACATAACCAAGCAGCATAGCAGGAAGTGAGTAGGAGGTGGTTTACGGCCCGGGAAGTAGGTACCGCTACTCTAGATAAGTTGGGAAGTTCTGACCCTTCTTTGTGTTTCCATCCCAAAGATATTAATAAAGTACATTCATTAAGTAAATTTACTGAGATATTTACTCAGTACTAGTCACTGTGAAGATAGGCAAAAACATGTTCTTTGGAACCTGGATACACAGTATAGAAAGGGGCAGAGATTCAAACATCCCTCAAATAGATATATAAATACCACCCCTATTGAATACTGGGAGAAAACCACAGATTCTGAAAGAGAACCTAACTCAGAATAAAAGAATGAAGACTTCTTAAGGAAGTGACAGGTAAAATCTGGAGAAAGAAAATTAAGCCAGGTCACCATAGAGGTAAAGGCAAGGGCCCAGAATTCTAAGAAGGAAAAAGTATGAAGAGCTGGAGGAACTGAAGTTTAAAAGAAGAGGTGGGCAGAGGCTAGATTAAGTGGTACCCTGCAGGCTATGGTGAAGCTTTTGTTTTTACCCTAAAGAGCATTGGAAAGCCCTCTTGAAAGGCTTAGGTAGGAGAACAAGATCAGATTTCTGTTTTCAAAGTCTGCGTGGCTTTGGGCAAACTGGATCTAAGCATCAGATTGCAAAGTAAAGATTTTAAGGAATCAAAGGCTCACCTCCAGGTGAGAACAGTTAGGATGTTAATAAATTTCACTTAGTACTTTACACAGAGAGGTTACTGATGTTTGGCTCTCCCTATTGTCACTAAGGCCAGCTAATGTCTTGGTCCCACTTAAGAGTTTTTTTTTTAGTTCCCTTTAGAAAAAAACTAGTATAGTGGTACATTAGCCCTGTTATGAGTTATACACTCATCTTCCTGAAAAAGTTGTACCCCCAAACAGCAAACAAGTCAGTTCCTGGAGGAAGCTTTTCAAAAAGAGAATTTCTTTAAAAACATATTTGGTCAGGTGTAGTGGCTCACGTCTCTAATCCTAGCCCTTCTGGAGGCCAAGGGGGGTTTGAGACACATCTGAGCTAGAGCAAGACCCTGTTTCTAAAAACAGCCAGGCATTGTGGCCTGCAGCTGTAGGCCCAGCTACCTGGGAGGCTGAGGCAAGAGAACTGCTTGACCCCAAGAGTTTGAGGTTGCTGTGAGCTACAAAGCCTCAGCACTCTACCAAAGGTGACAGGATGAAACTGTTTCAAAAACCAAAAAGTGTGCATATATGTGTGTGTGTGTGTGTGTGTGTGTAAAGATTTGGCAATGATTAGTGGAGGTATTGAGAGGCTGGGTAGACCTTTTGTTATATACTAACTAGTTTTGTTAATAACTTATCCCTCTCTGTTGCATTATACTACAGTACTTCACTAGTTGTGTTATTACTCTGCCCTCTTAGGCATTGTGTTTTTGGCCCTGGTATAAAATTAAATGTTAAAGCTTCCTTCCATATTCCCACTTTCTTTAAAATTATGCATTAAGTTTCTTGCATTTCTCTTATTTCAGGAGACAAAACGAAATTTAATGCATACACTAGAATTTATAAAATAGACTACATATAAAGTATCAATAATATTGTTCTATCTTTGCCTTTTTATTTTTAATTTATTTATTTAGAGAGAGTCTCACTTTGTCATCCTTGGTAGAGTGCCGTAGTGTCACAACTCACAGCAACCTCAAACTCTCGGGCTCAAGCGATTCTCTTGCCTCAGCCTCCCAAGTAGCTGGGGCTACAGGTGCCTGCCACAACACCCTGATATTTTTAGAGCCAGGGTCTTGCTCTGGCTCAGGCTGGTTTTGATCTTGTGAGCTCAGGCAGTCCACTGCCTCAGCCTCCCAGACTGCTAGGATTTAGAGGCATGAGCCAATGTGCCCAGCCTTAATTTTGCCTTTTTTTTTTTTTTTTTGAGACAGAGCCTCAAGCTGTTCCCCTGGGTAGAGTGCAATGGCTTCACTGCTCACAGCAACCTCCAACTCCTGGGCTCAAGCGAGTCTCCTGCCTCCGCCTCCCAAGTAGCTGGGACCACAGGCACCCGCCCCAACGCCCGGCTATTTTTTGGTTGCAGTCATTATTGTTGTTTGGCGGGCCCCGGCTGGATTCAAACCCGCCACCTGAGGTGTATGTGGCTGATGCCTTAGCCGCTTGAGCCACAGGTGCCAAGCCAATTTTGCCTTTTTAATTAAATATATCTTGGAGGCCTTTCCATATCAGCATATTTGTTTTTTTGTTTGTTCATTTTTGAGACAGAGTGTGACCCTGGATAGAGTGCCATGGCAGCAACCTCATACTCTTGGGCTTGAGCAATTCTCTTGCCTCAGCCTCCCAAGTAGCTGGGACTACAGGCGCCCATCACAACACCCAACTATTTTTGTTGTTGTTGTCATTGTTGTTTGGCAGGCCTGGACCAGGTTCAAACCTGCCAGCCCCATTGTATGTAGCTGGCGCCCTAACCCCTGGGCTTCAACAACGGAGCCATATCAGCATATTTGATGTTACTTATATGCTGATGTATCACATTGATATCATATTTAAATACAGGTAACACTAATTTGTTTCATTATTTTTGAACTGCCAAATATCCCACTGTATGATTATGTATTTGACATGTAGGTTGTTTCTGAGTTTTGTATTGTTTTGTTTTTGGTATTATAGAGTTTTGCAATTAACGCTTGTGTATACATCTCGCACTTCCACAGGAATTTCCATAGAGAACCATCTGGTTACAAAATACGTACATTTAAATTTTTGCTACAGGAAAGCTCACGTTGTAGTAAGAGACATAATGAGTTAACAGAAGCGGCTAGGCGCTGGAGCTCACGTCTGTAATCCTAGCACTCTGGGAGGTCAAGGCAGGTGGATTGCTTGCGCTCAGGAGTTTGAGACCAGCCTAAGTAAGAGAGACCTATCTCTACTAAAAATAGAAAAACTAGCCAGCCTTCTGGCAGATCTGTAGTCCCAGCTCCTGGGGGGCTGAGGTAATAAGATTCCTAAAGCCCAAGAGTTTGAGCTTGCTGTTAGCTATGATGTCAGGGCACTCGACCAAGGGCAACAAAGTGAGACTCTGTTTCCAAAAAAAAAAAAAAAAAAAAAAGGAAATAAACCAACAGAAATACCAAAAATACCTTAAAGAACCCCAACAGGATAGTGAATGAGTGACTGTCATGAGAAAACAGGGATCTCTGAGATGAGTTGATATCTGTGTGCTAAGAGGGAGACAGCCATAAAACTATTTGGAGGCAAACACACGAGCAGCAAAGCAAAGATCCTAGGGAGGGAGGGAACTTGGCTTGCTGGAGAAGTAGTCAAGGAAGTCAATACGGCTAGAGGATACTGAGTGAAAACAGTCCGTACGAATGAGAGGGCAGGGCCTCTCTATGTGGTAGGCCCTCCAAGGCGATTAACAGTTCGGATTTTGTTCCTACTTCCTTTGGGAGAACTCGGGTAACAGGGTCCATAATGAACAAAAAAAGGAAGAGTAAAGGCACTTGCCCGTAGAGTGACCGTGCGCAAGTTCCTGAGCCGCGCTAATCCCCTCACCCTCTGGCAAATAGGTCATTAATCATCACCTTAAATGGCTGCGAAAGCACCAGTCTAGGCTTCCAGGCCGCGGCCGCGAGTTTACCTGTCCTCCAGTACCGACTCCATGGGCTCCACCCCGTCAGTGTGCACCGCGTGGAGCCGATTGGAGAAAGCAATGGCTTTCTCCAACCGCGCCACTGCCTCCCGGCTGCCGAAGTCCACAAGCGCTAGACGCTCCAGGTGCTCGATCATCTCGGCAGTGATCCGGCCACTTCCCTAACAGATGAGGCAGGGAGTATGGGTCACGACCGGGACCTACTTCGCCACCCGCCTACATACCCCGGCTTTTACCTGCGGATCTTCCGTGGAGATGAAGCCCCGACGTCCGCCGAACGGGGCCCGAAGGCTCAGCCATACTGCCCGCGCCCACATTCCCTCCCTTCTCGGCCCCCGTAGTGCGCCAGGCGTAACGCCGAGCGACGCGCCTAAAAATGATGACATCAGAGTGCGCTGTCGCCACCGCCACTACGGTAGCCATGAACAGCGTAGGGGAAGCCTGCACGGACATGAAGCGCGAGTACGACCAGTGCTTCAATCGCTGGTTTGCCGAGAAGTTTCTCAAGGGGGACGGCTCCGGGGATCCATGCACCGACCTCTTCAAACGTTACCAGCAGTGTGTTCAGGTGAGCCTTCCCGCATTTGCAACAAGGCCCCGCATCCTCTGCGGCATCTCCGTCTCACGCATCGCGTCTTGCGGAGGCTGGGACAAGGAGGATGGAGAAAGCCGCAGTGGGGCCAGTGGCAAGAGCCCTCTCTACCATCGCCACTGAGGACGCCTGGGTGTCTCACCGAATGAAGAGGTTTTGCAGTCGGGCGTGTAGTTCTCACGCCTGTAATCTAGCACTCTGGGAGGGCGAGGAGGGTGGATTGCGAGAGCTCAACGGGTTCAAAACCTGCCTGAGCAAAAGCGATATCCCATCTCTAAAAATAACCGGGCGTTTTGGAGGGTGCCTGTCGTCCCAGCTATTCGAGAGGCTGAGACAAGAGAATCGCTTGAGCCCAAGACTTTGAGGTTGGTATGAGCTGTGATGCCAAAGCCCTCTACCAAGGGTGACAAGTGAGACTGTCTCAAAAGAAAAAAATAAATAAAAAGAGAGTTTTGCAGTGATTTACTTTTTGAGGAGCACAGTAACATCCTTTGGTTCATTTGGTGTTTATCATCTAACCTGCAGGTAGGCATAATTATATGTACTTAATACATGAGAAACTAACCCTCACAAATAGGAAGTGATTGATCCAAGTTATTAGAAAGTTTTCCTTGGACAGTGCCTGTGGCTCAAAGGAGTAGGGCGCTGGCCCCATATGCCAGAGGTGGTGGGTTCAAAACCCAGCCCCGGCCAAAGAAAAAAAAAAGAAAGTTTTCCCTTTTTTTTCCTTCTTTTTTTGGAGACAGAGTCTCATTTTGTTGCCCTAGGTAGAGTGCTGTGGCGTCATAGCTCACAGCAACCTCAAATTCTTGGGCTCAAGTAATTCTCTTGCCTTAGCCGCCCGAGTAGCTGGGACTACAGGCGCCTGCCACAATGGCCAGTTGTTTTTAGAAACGGAGTCTCCCTCTTGCTCAGCATGGTCTCGCACCTGTGAGCTCAGGGAAATCCACCGGCCTGGGCCTCCCAGAGTGCTAGGATTACAGGCGTGAGCCACCGCGCCCAGCCCAGGTTTCCTTGATTCTTTTGCAGGTGAGGCATTTTTCCACTGTACTGTTAAGGGACTGGGCGGAATTTAGCCTTTCTCTGGCCGGTTATACTTTGTGGAGGGTCTCATTGTTTTTGGTGCTATAATACCTTCCTTGGCCTACTTATCTTTCTTTAACTAGTTCCCGGAGTTACAGATAGGAAATTCTCATTCTGGCCCAATGGATGTGGAACTGCTTTGAATTATAATAACTTTGGACAAAGTACTTCCAATAAGTTAAGCTAAGACATCCTCAAGGTAATTCCACGAGGTAGTTTCTATCTTTATCCCAACTACAGATAAGGAAAGTGAGGTTGGCTGAAGGTCACATAGCCAGTTAGTCTGTAACTCACATTTGAACCCATTTCTTTCACTAAAGTGATGCTACTGGCTTTCAAATTTCACTTAATTTTAAGGATTCTCTTACAACTTCTCCATTCTCTCTAGTCTTACACTTGATTTCTTCATAATGGCACTTCTGTTTGTTAAAAAAATAGGTCACTTTGGCTCCGTGCTCATAGCACAGTGGTTATGGCACTGGCCATATGCACTGAGACTGGTGGGTTCAAACCCAGCCGGGGCCAGCTAAACAGTGACAACTGCAACAAAAAATTGCCATGAACTGTGGTGGGTGCCTGTAGTTCCAGCTCCAGCTACTTGGGAGGCTGAGGCAAGAGAATCGCTTAAACCCAAGAGTTTGAGGTTGCTACGGCACTACCAAGGGTGACATGAGACTCTGTCTCAAAAAAAAAAAAAAAGGTCATTTGAATCATGGTTGTGAGTCTTTATAGTGCAGACTTTACTTTTCTGGCATTATATTTTATTTACAAAGCTTGGTTCTCAAGTTTCATATGGATCTTTATAATCTGTTTTCTCCACCCATCAGAAAGCAATAAAGGAGAAAGAGATTCCTATTGAAGGACTGGAGTTCATGGGCCATGGCAAAGAAAAGCCTGAAAACTCTTCTTGACCTTGACAGTCACCTTGAAAACAGATTCCTCAAATCAGGAGATTGAGGACTTTGGATTTTGTCAACCAAGGCTGTGAAGGTAGCCATCAGATTTGATGAGGAATTTAGGAGAGAAGAGTTTTATTTCCTCCTCCTTGACGTTTTCCTCAAGTTTTAAAAGGTGAACTCTTTGATGATTTCTCACTTTTTCTGGCATCTTGCGAGAACTCAATGTGCTAACATGGAATAATTTCTTGGAACACAATGTGCTAATGTGGAATAATTTCTTGGGGTTATGATTGCAATATTTAATTTGGGATCAGCTTTAACTATATCTTATATGTAGATAGTGATGAACTAGTCAGGATGATCAAGGTTGCCTGACCTCTTGATTTTTGCTGCAAAGGACATTATGTATACTATACTGGGGTCATGGTTAAAGAAAGCAATTGGTTGGGACCTCTTTTTTCTCTCAGGGAACTAATGCTCTGAAAAGGGATCTGGGCACATTTTCAATCATGCTTGGGAGCACAGTTTTATTTTTATATAGTAACTAACAGTTAAGCTACTGGTGGCCTGGATTAGCAAAGAGGAAGACAGCTTTTAACAGTTCCCTGCCTTAAAGAGAGGTGTCGGATTAAAATGTGAAAGCTTCAAGAATGTTGCAGTGAACACCACAGTATACGTGAGGAATTAAGATGCTTGGAGTCACTGTGGAAGAAGAGCCTAAATTGCAAAGTTTGCTGCTGCCAGCTTCAACCCACATCAGTGAATTAAGTCAACCTGCATATGTTCTAACAATGCTAAAATGCTACATCTGATGAAATGATTGGGGGTGTTTTTGCTTTATTTGCTTTGTTTACCCTCTCTGCCCAGTAATATCTGTAATCATGACGATGGAATAAACCAGTACAGTTAATTTCTATCATTATTTGCTCCTGGAACTCAGTATACTTTATGAAGCAACTGTTATCCTGTTATCCCACATCTCGTAATATGCTGAGGAGAGTTTTATGTTTTTCATAATTTAAAAATTTGTCTAAGGTAGTATGGTATGGCAATTAGAAACCTCACTGATTTCTTTTTTCTTTTGAGACAGTCTCACTGTGTCACCCTGGGTGGAGTGCTGTGGCTTCACGGTTACAGTAATCTCAAACTCTTTTTTTTTTTTTTTTTTGCAGTTTTTGGCTGGGGCTGGGTTTGAACCCTCCACCTCCGGCATATGGGGCCAACGCCCTACTCCTTTGAGCCACAGGCACCGCCCTCAAACTCTTTCAGAAATTTGATAACAAGAGAATCCTTCTAAATTAATTTTCC